GTGTGTGTGTGTGTGTGTGTGTGTGAGAGAGAGAGAGAGAGAGAGAGAGAGAGAGAGAGAGAGAGAGAGAGAGAGAGAGAGAGAGAGAGATTTTTGTTTTTTTGAATATCTCATAGGAAAAAAATGCTGTTGCCTGCATTCAATCTCATTTTCCTGGGTCAATTAAGCTAATTTTGATTGATTTTTCCCCTTTTCTGTTCCTCTCCTCGTCAAAGAAAAAAGGCCTTCACTTTCACGCGCACCCGTCCTCCTTTCCCTCCTCCGAGTCCTTCCCCTCTCCCTCGTAAATTCTCTCCCCTCGTTCCATATCACCTCCTCCTCCTCCTCGTGCTCCTCCTCCTCCTCCTCCTCCTCCTCACGGTCGTCCTCCTAATCAGGACTTTTCCTTCGCCTCCTCTCCCTCCTTTTCCTCTTCTTTCTTTCTCATTTGTGTTTTCGTCATGGGAGACATTATCACCACCACACCATCTTCGTCATCATCTAGATGCTCACGATCGACGACCATCCTGTCACGTCACGGCTAAGTTAATAATCCCAGTCGAATCATATCAAATTTCCTCGTATCGCAGTTTCCTCCTATCGCTGATGCCTTTATACCCTATCATCGATCGATCGATGGATGGATGGATGGATGGATGGATGGATGGACTAAACGGCCTGCTTAATGGAAAAAGGGAAAGATGATCTTGAGCAAAATAATGCAGCGAGTACTTGGCAAGTGGGGCTGAAGTATTATACATGGGATAAAGTTTTTGCAGTGCAGCAGTGGTATAATTAACTTAAATAAAATTATTTTTTTTGTAAGTTGAATAAAAATTGAAGTTTTGAATAAAAATTGAAGCTGAGTAAAAAAAAATTGAAGTTGAGTTAAAAAAATTGAAGTTGAGTAAAAAAAATTGAAGTTGAGTAAAAAATTGAAGTTGAATAAAACATTGAAGTTGAATAAAAAGTTGAAGTTGAATAAAAAATTGAAGTTGAATAAAAAATTGAAGTTGAATAAAAAATTGAAGTTGAATAAAAAATTGCGATGAATCGATATAAGGGTAAGAAAAATGTGAGTGAGTTTAATAGAACTGGAATGGAATGCATTTCTCCGCTCGAAAAAAAAAACCCTGAATGAGATTGATATATAGTATATATATTTCCTCTCTTTCCCTGCCACCTTCTCCCGCCCCCCTCCCCCTCGCTCCCCCTCCCCCTCAACCCCACCAGCCTTTTTTTTCCCCATTAAATCCCAAGGAATGTACTGGTTTTGAATCTGTCGATCAATGAAGTGCCGTCCTGCCGCGGACATGCGCACGTCGTGGGCGCGACGTACTTCAACGGAAGAACTCTGGAGCCCTTGACCTTGATGCTCACGATACCGAATAATGCACGATTGTAATGGAATCCATTAATACGATATTTACCCACGTGTCGTCTCCTCGCCTTTCTTCTTCTTCTTACTGTTTTCACTATTCTTCTTCTTCTTCTTCTTCTTCTTCTTCTTCTTGGTCCTTCTTCTTCTTCTTCTGCTTCTTCGAACGTCACAGGCGGATTTCCACCCACGTGTCGTCCAATCGCAATACCGAATAATGCACGTGTCGTCTAATCGATTTTGGTTGTAGCGGACTTGTATCGCCTTTCTTCTTCTTGTGAGAAGCAGTATGTGGCTACTGTTTTCACTATTCATTCTTCTTCTTCGTCGTGTGGAAAGGGACTTAACCGTCAAAAGATGGGGAGAGATGGGAAGATCGAAATGGCAATGGACAATGGCAGGGAGGAGGAGGACGGGAAGGAGGGGCAGGGGGGGGAAGGGAGAAGGACGAGGAGCAGGCAGGGGTGAAGGCGGGAGGAGGAGGAGGAGGAGGAGGAGGAGGAGGAGGACGACGACGGCAATAGCGAAGGAGGAGAAGAAGAAATCGAGGAATAGAGGAGGAGGAGCAGGGGGAGGGAGAAGGCGGGAGAAGGAGGAAAGGAGGAGGAGGAGGACAGGAGGACGACGATGGCAGTAGCAAAGGAGGAGGAGACGTAATCAATCGAGGAATAAAAGCCGCGCCCCCCCCCCCCCCCCCCACCCCCCCCCCCTCCTCCCTCCTTCTCGAAAGGCCAGGGGGGGAAGACGGTCGCGATGAAGTTGAGAGCATTTTCGGAGAGAAAAAAGGAGAAACTTTGTAAGTCTTGACGATGCGGATCTCTACTAAAGGTGGAATTTTATTACGCCAGCAATCCTCCATTGATTACATCGACGATTACAGACGGGTTTTGTCCCAGGTGGGCAGACAACCCCTACAGCTTTGTCCCTGATGCTGACGGGTTTTGTCCCAGGTGGGCAGACAACCTACAGCTTTGTCCCTGATGCTGGCAAGGCAGGTGTTGGAGGCTACTACCACAACGGCACAGAAGTTCGCCGTCGTGTCGGTGGACTGTAGGTGGAATTTTATGTTGCAAGCCTTGGGGCGCGAGGGGTAGGGAGGGGTAGGGAAAGCGTTCACGCAATGGGTTCGCGAGGGGTACTTCTGAAAACCGCAAAGGGAAAAAAAGGAGAAAGGGAAAAAAAGGAGAAAGGGAAAAAAAGGAGAAAAAAAATTGGACTAGTGATATCCAATTTGTCGCGCTGTGGTATCATGGTGACAGTTGCGAGCATCATCGGCGCGCAGCGCGATCACGGCAACGAGGACGAGAAATGATGGATGAGAGAGAGAGAGAGAGAGAGAGAGAGAGAGAGAGAGAGAGAGAGAGAGAGAGAGAGAGAGAGAGAGAGAGGTAACGAGAACTGCAAGGACGGAGAAATGATGAAGAAGATGGTGGGAGGAGGGAGCTCAGGGAGGAACAGAAGCGATGGGAGGAGATGGAGACGACTGAGGGAGAGAAGTAGGGGTTGGAAAGAAAAGTCCAGGAGGCAGCGGTGAGAGAGGAGGAAGAGGACTGCAGAGCGAGGAGGGAAGCAGGTGAAGTAGGTGGGAGTAACTTATATCCATTGATTCACTCTATTTGACATGTGGCGGGAAAACAACGAGCATGTGAAAGAGAGGGGGAAGGTGCCCTGAGGTAAAAAAAATTAAGCAGGTTCGAGCGGGCTGGGAGACGAAAGTTTTTCTTTTCTCTAATATTAAAAAAGAAAGGAGAGCTGAAAAATAAAAAAGAGGGGGAAAAACTATAAGATGAGGGGGCAAGAAGTCGGAAGACCGCACGGAGAGGTTTGGAGAGGACAATAGACTGCGGATTTGCGTGAGGGGGAATCCGTACGTCGAGGCGAACAAACGATGCGGGAAAGAAGAAGAGGAAGAAGCAAACGGCAAATGAAGCAGAAGATTACCAACGAGGATATGGAAACGGAGTAATAAAGAAGCCAGAGGAAGAAAGAAGAAAAGAAGAAGGAGAAGAAAAAAGAGAAGTAGAAGATGATGGATTGACGGAGGGAAGAAGAAGAAGAAGAAGAAGAAGAAGAAGAAGAAGAAGAAGAAGAAGAAGAAGAAGAAGAAGGATTGATGGGGGGAGGAGGAGGAGGAAGAAGAAGTAGAAGAAGAAGATGGATTGATGGGGGGAGGAAGAAGAAGAAGAAGAAGAAGAAGATGGATTGATGGGGGGAGGAAGAAGAAGAAGAAGAAGAAGAAGAATTGAAGGGAGGAGGAAGAAGAAGAAGAAGAAGAAGAAGAAGAAGAAGAAGAAGAAGAAGAAGAAGATGGATTGATGGGAAGAAGAAGAAGAAGAAGAAGAAGAAGAAGAAGAAGAAGAAGAAGAAGAAGAAGGAGGAGGAAATGGATTGATGGAGGGAGGGGAGGGATGGGTACGAGCAAAGAAGGTGAAAAGAGAAGGGAAAGGGGTATAAAAAGGGACAAAAGCCGAGGGGTGACGAGAGGGGAACGTGGTTGGCATGGGTGGGTGGATGCCTGGGGATTTAGCTGAGTCGAAGTGAAATTTCAGAGGAAACTTCATGATAAGAACTTTCTGTTTAAAAAATTCTGCTAGAGAACGATGAGAAAGGTATGTGGGAGAAAGGGGGTACAGTGTGCGGAGGGAGAGTAGGTACGGGGTAGGGAGGGAGGGAGGGAGCGCAGTTAGGAAAGGGAGAGGGTTTTACCGGATGGGCCTCTCAGCCATTGGAAGGGTACGGATCAATGTCCATGCGTTCTATTGGGAGAAGACGAGGAAACACCGCATAAAATAAATGACTAATTTAAAGTGTTAAAGACACTGTTTTTTCGGTCGGGGTCCCGCTACGATGCCCATGCGCGTTCTATTCGGAAGATGAGCGGGCAATCCCCGGAGATTCCCACCGGGAAAGGAATCGTTTTTTTGTTTTTTTTTTACAACCGAGAGAAATCCTTTGTTATCAAAGGAGGAAAAGGAGTCGTTTCGCTAGTGCCACCTGCGTTGGTGCTGCCATTTTTTATATTATTATTATTATTATTTTTCTTTTGCTGCCACATTTACAATGCAATGGGGGCACGAAAAATGTGCACGAAGACATCTAAATCCGCAGCGGTACTTTTTTGGGGGACAAAAAAAAAAAAAAAAGCATAGCCGTACTTCTCTCCTCGGAGGAAGACGAGTTGTGGTGGTGGTCGTGTCCAATCTGGTGTACCGTGGGGAATCTGTTCTTTCCACCATTTTTTATTTATACCATTTTTTATTTATACCAATTTTTATTTATACCAAATTTTATTTATACCAATTTTTATTTATACCAGTTTTTATTTA